AAGCAACGTGGCAAGGTATAGATTTATAAAAATGGGTTAATTTAAGATATAAGAACAGTTAGCAAGAAGCCTGCCACGGCCATACAGTTTATAAGTAATATAAGTGTCTGAGTGATTATTTTATAAGTGGATTGTGGGACTGCGGGGCTTGGTGGAACCTGGAGAGAAGCCCTCCAGCAACAGTTCCAGGCCCTCTTGAGGCTATCCTTTATTTTCTATCTGTTTATCTCCATGATATTCTCTACAGTAAATCCTTCTATCTAATATTTCCTGCTGCTCACACTCAAGAAAACTCTGGGGAGCTGTGGGGTTGGTGGGTAAATGCCCCACATGAAAGTTAATTCCCAACATTGGAAAATGTGACTTTTAAAAATAATTTTTATTGCATTTCCTCTTTGACAATTTCATATATGTATTAAGTTCTGATTATTGTAACCCTCCACCTTCTAATCTCTCCCACACACCTATTACCCATCCCAGATGTCTTTGGGTTGTTTGCTTGTTTTGGTTAATTGGTTGGTGATTAGTTTATCTGACTTGGTTTTGTTTTGAGACCCACTGTGTTTAATCAGAATTGTATGTAAGAACATGGGTTTGGACCTATCCATTGGAGCTTGGTGGGCTTCTCAGTAGGTACATAATGGGAGACAGTGATTGTCCCTTGCCCAGAATCTGTCAAGATAGACAGTAGTTCATCAGGGAGAAGTAGGGCTCCACTGAGCCCTTCCCCAACCCATGACTGACTGGGTAGGCCCAGTTTTGTGAGGTCATGACTTCATTGGCTAAGACATGCTCTGTTTCCAGTTCTTTCATTCATCCTGTCCTCTCTTTCTCAGTGATCCCTGAGGCTTGAGCAGGTGGTATAAATGTCCTATTTAGGGCTGAACACTCAAGGGTCCAGTTATTCTCAGCACCTTGAGCAGCCATGAATCTGCATTGGAAGGAAGGAGATGGGGCATTTAGGAGGTGATTGAGTCATGAGGACTCTACACCTTTGGATGGGTTACTTGCTTTTTATAAAGGTATTTGATGGAAAACTTTATCCCCTTTTTGCATTCTTGCATTCTGCCATGTAAAGATATGATGGTTCTACCCTCTAGGAGGGAGAGACAGGGTTGTAGCTAGAGTTTTCCTGCCTTGCCCACAGTCAAGACAAATCTCTGTCACCAGCCAGTCCCACAGCAGCTCAGACCCAACCAAGTAAACATGGAGACTTACATTGCTTACAAACTGTATGGCCATGGCAGGCTTCTTGCTCACTGTTCTTATAGCTTAAATTCATCCATTTCTATGAATCTGTACCTTGCCACATGGCTCGTGGCTTACCGGCATCTTCACATGAAGTTTGTCATGGCTGCGGCTGACAGTGACTCCCTTTCCCTTCCTGTTCCCTTAATTCTCCTCTCTGTTAGTCCCACCTATACTTCCTGCCTGGCCACTAGCCAATCAGTGTTTTATTTATTGACCAATCAGAGCAACAGATTTGACATACAGACCATCCCACAGCACAGGGTTCAAGTTACCGTATTAATAACCAACTAAAAATACACAAAGCATCACGATCTGTGGCTTCCCAGCTTTGAGAACTGTGAGAAATAAATTACTGTTGTGCAAGTTCCCCAGCCTGTGACTGCAAAGAATCAAATGATATTAATATAAATACAACCTAAATGTATTGGTTATTTTTACTCTTGAAAATATGAATTCTAGGCCGGGTAGTGGTGGCGCACGCCTTTAATCCCAGCACTCAGGAAGCAGAGCCAGGCAGATCTCTGTGAGTTCGAGGCCAGCCTGGGCTACCAAGTGAGTTCCAGGAAAGGCGCAAAGCTACACAGAGAAACCCTGTCTCGAAAAACCAAAAAAAAAAAAAAAAACAAAAAAAACTTATTATTTGAAATAG